ATGCAAGCTGGTGCTCTCAGTTGGTGCTGGCTGTTGACTGAGACTTCAGCTGGGACATCAAACCAACCACATGTGATCTCCCCACCTCCACGTGGCCTGGGATCCTGCACAGCAGGACATCCTCTCCTCGGGGCAGTCAGAATTCTTACAACGGTCAAGAGTACAGGGAAGCAAGGTGGGAGCTGAGTTGCATTTTGTTGACTATGCTGGGATGTCAGCAGCACCACTCCGGCTGCATTTTATTGGTAATGAGCAAGTAATCAAGGCCCGCCCAGCATCCAGGGGAGGAGTGTCAAAGGATTAGCTGGCATGTTATAAAGTCGTCATGTGAGGCCAGTGAAAAATACTACTTTTCAGCCTGTATTGTCTCCAAAAGAATAAAAAAAGAGACAATATTGAAACTACTGACCTGAGAAAGTCCCCAATGATCCTCAGGGACTTCCTAACTGTCCCCAAATCCAACCTTGCATAAGAATTTAGCCTGCCTCAGTTTGAGAACAGGGACAAAGGGGAAGATAATAAACAGCAACTGCCAATTCCACCTCAAACAAACTTGCATTATGCCACATTAGCATTGTTGTGGAGTTTCGCTATTATTAGTAGATTGTAAGCTAGGCTACTGTCACTGAAATCCCACACCACCATGGCTTCAATCTATTTCACCTAACAGTCCAGTCAGCTCAGGCTAGCAGGGCAGCTCTACCCCATGATGTCATTTCACCACCGAGGCTCCTTCCATGCTATTGCTCTGCCATCCCCTAAGGTGTTGTCTTATATGCACAGGTAACGCTGGCACACCTCACTTCCAGCTCAAGAAACAGAGGAAGAGTCTAGAAAATCAGCTGGCTTCAGAGTCGGAGAGAATTGCAACCTTTGCCTCTGTGCACAACCACTGGCCCAAATTTAGTCACATGACCACATCTTGCTGGAAGGGAGGCTGGGAAATTCAGTTTCTAGCTGGGAAGCCACGGAGAAGGAGAGAAGTGATTAGGGAAACAACCGTCTGCCCCACAAATGATAAGTAAATTATTATTCTAATATTCAAATGTTTGCAGCATTAACAAGCTAATCAAATCTTCTTAATCTCCATCAATTTCAGTGTCATAAATAATTAAGGTGCCAATTGCAAGTGAATCTGAATTAAATGACATGTCTTCTTCAAAGCACTTACAAACTTCTCTAGGACTGCCAGCAATTTTCTTGCAAAAATGTCTGCACATTGAAAGTTGGCAACACAGCCCTAACCTGGACTCCTACATATGAATTATTCTGAAGTCCAAATCAGTATGTCCAATGAGATCTTAACAGAGCTTAGAAATGATAATCAAGGTGGAAGAAAACAGCTTAACAATTAAGAATCCACAAATAACCAAAATCATTTGCATTCTAGGAAAGAAAAGGTGATATTTTCTTTTATGTATTAAGTAAACATTAGATTGAATGCATTTCTAGATTGAAGTTTTTTTTTCAGAGCTGCTGCAAATTTAATGGACTTGAGTGAGTTTTTATAGTTTCACCTTCTCCCTCTGAATGTACTCCTTAGGACGGGATGCTGAGGACAGTGCACAAGTGTATGGCAACATTAAGAATTCTGGACAAGAAATCATCTCTAGCTTCCCTCAGTGTCTCCTTTAAAAAGGTATTGAAATTCCCTGAGTCTATTTCTTCATCTGTACAATAGGAATACTACCTACACCTCACAGTGGAGAAGCGTAAAGTGGCACTTTTCACTCAGTAAAACACAAATTCATCCTGTGCAAAGCAGAAAGAAAACACAGGCAAAGTGCCTAGTCTGCAGACAGGCAGCAAAGCCTCCAGGGGCTTCTGTAACACTCATGGAGAGGGACAAGATTATGTTCCCTCGCTTTCGATCCCAGCCTTGATGTCTTCAACTAGACAAACCAACTTGCCAGGGCCATCTGGCTCCCAGGAGGAAAGACTCCACACAAGCCGCTGGCAGCCAGCTGCAGCAGCCAGTGCCCACTCAGTCCTGACAAAGAACCCTGAACGTGATTACTCTGGTGTCCCCTGTAAGTTTAGACAACTGTCTTAAAGACAACAGGTGTTGGGGGTGGGGGGCAATACCGATACAGATTGGACTAGCTCTTCCAATCAAAAAGAAATGTGGAGAATAAAAATTTGGAGGAAGAAAAGCACTATGTCAACACCATGTTGTAAACAGGGAAATTTAAGAGTATAAGCATCCTCTAGGCTCTAAGCTTGTAGCTTTGTTGGGCATCCTCTGCCCACATGCGTGTGTTCACTTCTCCAATGTTACAGGCGTAAGACACCAGGAAAGGAACATGCAGCTGCAAAAAGACCAAGACAGGGAGAACTGACAATAGGTAACTGTGGGAATGGACTAGGAAGCCCAAGGAATCCTAATACAGAAGACAAAGAATGGGGAACAGCATGTATCTAGAGGAAGAAAAATAAACACATACCAAAGGAATGATAAGCAAATAAGCTATCAAAGACATTTCCATACTCTCCTACACAGCAAAGAGGTTCACACTAAAGAACAAATCCATTTGTCATGCTTCTTGTCTTACTCACTTAACTATAAGGTGAGGTTTAAATCTGTTTCTTTACCCTCCTCCTGCAAATAGAATTCTACTCCAGGAAGGCAAATGAATGGAATTCTATAAATTACAGTGTGTATAGAAGTGAGACAACGGATTGTTCCACATTCCCAAAATCAAAACTAAGGAGGTATCTCCGGAAGCCTGGAAGTAGCTAATCAAATAAACATAGGTAGCATCAGTATTTTACAGGTCAGTACACGTACTGTCCTCATTGCCTGTATGGAAATAAATGTATATAAATGAGGTACACACTAATAGTGCTGGGCTGGCGTGCTAATGTGGTGCTGGAGACAACCAAGGCATCGGCTCTAGGGAAAGAGGTAAGAACAGTGTGGCAGACACGCACTGTGGAATACCAGGTAGCAGTCAGAAGCAATGATCTAGACACTGCTAGATGTTGTGTGTAAAAATGTTGGAATGAAAAAAAAAAACCAAGAGCTAAAGCATAATATCACGTACATTCAGTTAAGCATAAATTAAAAACATACCACATGCAAAGTACTATACCATTTTCTCAGAATATAGATTAAAGATGTGTCAAACACAAGAGGTTGGGCACTTGGGTGGGGAGAATGTTAGAAATAGGATGAAAGAGCAAAATTAAAATCAGAGAGTCCTCCACTGTTGGGTAATAGTGAACCTAAGTACTGAGACACTATAATGAATTCAATTCTGTACTCACGGTTTGAAGAAAAAGATGTACTTCAAGTAAACAAGGGCTAGTAAGGACAACCACGTCGCCCTGGCATCTTGAACACACTACTCAGAACACTGTGCTGACTAGAACATCGGCCTTACTTGGTGTAGCATCTGTTTGCTCTGTAAAGAACTTTAAGCGCTAACTTTGTGCTAGGGAATGAGTGATCGGTCCTTTGACAGATGTATTTAACCCCCACAACCACCTGTGAAATAAACACCTCCATTTTACGGATTTTAAAAAACCAAGTCACTTTTCCAAAGTCACAAAGGTAAGTCAGTGGACTTGAACTTCATATTTAGCTTCATTTCCAATATATTAGTACCTTCCCCTAAGCCACACAAACTGAGAACCTCTTCAGACATTTAACTCTCCGGTAATCTTTCTTTCTGAAATGGTATCTTAGCATCTTACTTTTACTTTCCTCCTCAGCTAACTACTCAAGTAAAAGCAGCGCGGGAGTCTGAGGGCACAGCACTGTCACTCCGCACATGTTCACATCTGGAAATAAAAGCCTTCACCACAAGCCACTGACATGCTCTTTGTCTGGATTTAATGAAAGTGCTTAGACACATTCACCACCTCCTGGGCCACAACACATTCAACAAGTGACATTCAACTTTGCTCCTATATAAGCCTCAAAGCCCCTCACATAGGTCCCAGTGCTGTGGCATGGTGAGTTGTTCCAAAAATTAAACTAAGTTTGAAGCAGATAAGTCATTCCTGAGTTTCCCACGTTATTCTGACAGCCATAAATCATTCAAAAGCTGAGGCAATGGAGCAACTGCCAAGCAGCAGTGCAGGGCCCAGGTCCAGTAGACAGACCACTCACTTTGTGAAAACATAACCTTTAAACACTGTTCCAAATGACATTTGAGGACCAGCATGATTCTGACTTTTATTATTAGGTCAGAACGAATGGAGGAGCAGCAAAAGGGCCCATCATACAATCTGGCCTTCACTGGCACTTGCCTTCCTCAGGCAAGGAGGAAACTGGAGCAGGAGGTTGATCACTCAGTGCCGCAGACTCTCAGAATCTCACTTGGACCCTAAAGTGCATCTGCTTGGTGGCATTATTCTTCATTCCTGTCTTCAGCATCCACTTTGATTTCATCCTTTGGACATACTGCATGTCTCGTTCTCGCATAAGAGCCGCTCCTGTGGTTGCAAGGGGGTTAAGAAATGAGGGAAAAGTCTGTTATTTGAGATCAGAGAAAACCCAATCTTGGCGGAGAATCTAAAAGTTAGCATGAAGTAACTGGGTTCTTATATTTTAAAGAGTTGCTAACATGGGGTCTTTAAGAAATGGGCCTCAGGGATCTCTGTGCCTATCAGAATTGCATACCAGAACTTTTGTATATGTACATTTTTCTGAGGAGCAAATCTTTAGTTTTTATCATCTGGAAGTCTGTAAGCCCAAAAGGTGAAGCCCAATTGATCTAAGAGGACAGAGAAAGGCAGAAACTATAAATCGAGTCAGACAATAATTCCTGACAAGAGTAAGATGAAGTCAGTCTCTGCCAGATTCAAGTGGCCAACAAGTAGCCAGAGTGAAGAAAACCACACATCAACAGTGGCATTTAAAACGGATTTTAGTCACCCAGAGCTTCCCAGGCCATCAGAAGGCAGCTCCCTCTTAACGCTCTCCACAGTCCTCTGGTTGGATGGATGTATTCCCTGAAGATCTAAGGACAACCAGCATCATAATACCATACAGATGAGGTTTCAAAGCTTGACAATTTCAGTGGCCTACTTTACTCTTCTGACTCTAAGTTGTCTATGGCTGCGGTCCCCAACCTCTGGGCCGCGGACCGGGCTGCCACCCCCAACCCCACCTCCTTGGAAAAATTGTCTTCCTTGAAACTTAGGAAGCGGGGGAGGCACTGCTTGCGAAGCTTCATCTGTATTTACAGCTGCTGCCCCTCTCCATCGCTGGCATCTTCACCTCCTGAGCTCCGCCTCCTCTCCCAACCTCCCCCACCCCAGTTCTATGGAAAAACTGTCTTTCATGAAACCAGTCCCTGGTGCCAAAAAGCTTGGGGACTGCTGGTCTATGGGAAAATTAGAAAAAAGGGGACTGATAGCTAACCTTTACCACATGCATGCACCTATCACACATGCATGATATTCAACCCACTTGTGTCTAAGAGGTGGGTCCTATCATTACATCTCCATTTTATAAATGAGGAAACGGAAGCTTAGATTAATTAAATTACTCACGCCCACTGTATAAGAACCTGTAAGTATGTCATATGAGTCATGTTTGATTCCACAGCTCAAGCTATTAACCACTAGGATTCTATTTAACTCCTCTATGTAGCCTCCAGGATAATTTCAACCTTTGATGATTATTAAATAAAAATTCTTTTTGTAACTATTACCTTCTGAAAAAGTTAATGGTATATATAAAGTTAGTGTGCCAGAAATATGAAAATTAACTCATGGAGCTTTGGGCTTATTGCCATAAATGCATCATATCAAGTGGTAATGAAAGCCCCTGGTGCCAAGAGGCTAAGTTTCCCCTAGAGAGGATCCACAAAGACAACGTAAATGGAAATGACTTCCCCCAAGCCCCTTCGAGAAATACAAGTCCTTATGCCAAGTACAAGTCTGTAGCTGTAAACATCAACGTACCCGTGCTGCCTGTCCATCCCAGGGCTCTGTACTGCTGAAGTACACGGCCCACAGCCTTCCGGTTTTTAGCAACTGCCACAGCTCTTGACAAGCCAAATCGCTGTTTGTAGTATCTCATCAAGGAACGATGACCCACTCTGGCACCTGTTTTTCAAAAGAGCAATATTTAAACCACTGAGTTGGATAGTTTTTTCAAGGCAGAGCTATAAAGCCAGGGCTTTTCAAATCAGATCTTTAAGTGTATCTAGAGGGAAATGGATATGCCCGAAGAAACAGTGCTCTACCTACTAAAGAAAGATGAAACAGCATATAAAATGAAAATGAAAAGGTGAAAGAAAGCCCGAAAGAAAAAGAAAACCAAAGAATAGACAGATTTTTTAAAAAGAGCAAAATGGCAAGTCACTGTTAAGTGAGAAATTCAGCATCTCGTACTTACGATATGCCTCCCCAGAAATTCACGTAGCAACCCCTATTAATAGGGCCCTAGGAGATAAGGGATTTTTAGCCTCTTTTTTTTTTTTTTTTTAATAGAAAGAAGATTAAACACAGAGGACAGTCCTGACGTTTAGGTCTACAAGCCACAGTCAGGGTCTAAAATAGAAATCAATCCACCCTTCCTTTCCTTAAATTCTCTATTGCAGTGATTCTCCAATGTGGGTGGATTTTACCCCACAAGGAATATTTTTGGCACTGAGTAGAGGCATTTTGGTGATTGTGACTAGAGGGGTACTACTGGCATCTAGTGGGTGGAGGCCAGAGATGCTACTAAACATCTTAAAATGCATAGGACAGCCCTCTACTACAAAGAATTATCTGGCCCAAAATGTCCATCGTGGCAAAGTTGAGAAACCCTGCTCTATTGCTTCCTAAATGATGGAAATCACCTGGTGAACTAGAATATAAAAAGATAACTAAGCTCAATTCTTTCTACAGCTTTTGCTTATTTAGAAGGATCTGGTAAAACTGTGAGTCAATCATGCTTTCAGAAATGAATTTCTAATTTTAATTTCCAACGTATTCTGACTTCATTACAATATATGATTGCATATATCGTTATCCCATAGGCCCATTATCAACTTGTAACATAGTGGGAAGAAAGAGACCCTGCACATTTCAAATAAAAAAACCTACGGGACAAAGGTATTGGCCATGAAAAGCTTTGGAACTTCTGTGGCCGGGCTAATAAAAACCCAAGATAAGTAAAGACATTTACTGGAAGAACAATTCAAGGTTCTTCTATAAGGCTGAGGCAAATCTGATATGTTAATCAAGGGGTGGCAAACTACAGCCAAAGGACCAAATCTGGCCAACAGGCTTATTTTCATTACTTTTATTGGAACACAGCCACGCCCATCCGTGTAGGTTTCACCTCTAGCTGCTTCTGTGCTACAACAGCAGAGGTGAGTAGCTGCTGCAGAGAAAGAACAGCGTGCACGAAGTCTAAACTACTGCCTCTCTGGCCTTTTCTAGGAAAAATGTCCCAACCCCTGTGTCTTAGCTTCACAGCAGAGGAACTGAGGGGGCAGGCCCCAGGGATGAATAACTCCAGGCTCCATCACAGTGGTGGCTCTCAAAAGGTGGTCCCCAAGCCCATGGCATCAGCATCACCTAAGAGCTGACTAAATATAAGCTATGCTTTCACAAAAATACTCACGAGGACATAAACAATCAAATACCTTCCCAGACAGACATAAACCTGTAGATATTTAGCAGCAACATACACACAAGGCATAAAGCAGCCATTTCCACTGAAAATTGAAAGGAAATATGGCCACAGAACCCTGTGTAGACTTTCCAGGAAAGTTTTACATTTACATACATAAAACCATTTCTTTCAGAACCTTTTGTGTAAAAAGACATGAATAGGATACTATAAATACTGTGGAGGGCTGTATTTGGTTTTAGGATCTGTCTAAACCTTTAATTTGTGTGAGAAAATGCTGTCAGGTTATTTTAAGTCCCCATACCTGGCAAGACACCTGGAAAATAATTTATTTGCTACATAGATATGGAAAAGTAGTTACTTTCAGTTGCTTATTTTGTTATCGAACTCAAGAAACGACAAATTCAATTCAAAGATACGGTCTTTGGATACCAGTATGGATAAAAACATGCTTCCCCGAACCTGACCGTTCTGGCAGCAGAAGAGTTAACAAAGCTCCTAGACCACGAGAAATAAGTGAGATGCAGCTGATGGATAAAAACACAAGCTTAAATGGGAGCTCTAGCAGGAAACTCCAGCATTGTTTACTGTGGTTTACAATATTAGGTCTGGATGCTCCAGGTCTGCAAGGATTATCCCCAAACCATGAAATGGTAATACTGGTCATTAGTACCTAATAAATCAATATATTCATAGTCTTCTGCAGCATTTGGAAATACATCTTACTGAAGGTTGGCCTTTTAAAACATCCTTGAAAGGGCTTCATGGCTCAATGCCAAGGTTTCTGACAGCTGACAGGAGAGAACAGAAAACAGTGTTTAGAGCTACTCCTGCCCTGTGTCAATGACGGTGACCACCTGACATTAGCACCAAGTATAATGTGCCAAGGACAGCTCAACTCGAAGGCCCTCATCAAGGAAAAATATTTTCTACAACAGTGTGACTGCCCAGTAGGTAAGGGATTGGTTATGTCCGAGTCATGGTGAAGCATACAGCCTGTCCACCTAGGTTTCACCTCAGCAGTGACTGCTTACAAAGCTGTCCACACCTTCTTAACAAACAGCTTTACAACTGATGACGTTACATACTGGAAAAGAAAGTGTCTCGAACAATAATTTTCCTAGGAAGATTAATTATGAATCTCTTGTGGATCTACCAGCAGTTTTGTCTGGCTTGTCAGCAGCTAACTGAATGGGTCTCTCACACCAACTTACTCCATATGAGCTGAAGAGCAATGAAGGAAAGGCAAGGAGCTGAGCCAGGCCACAGTCTTCACAATACATGCTCACAGTGCCCTCTACCGGATGCTTTTTGTCATTGGCTTTGGGATCATCGACTTGGGATTGTACCAAAGTCCATCCAATCTAAGTAACTAGATTTCAAGTATCAAAACTTCTGCTTTTGAAACCAGTTTAAAGCAGACTCCAAGTGTAGTTGATTAAATATCACTAAGCTCCATACATTAGAATCCTTTCCAAATTAGTTACAAGCTAATATCCATGCTATATAAAAGAACATAATCAAACAGGTTTCCGAATGGTAAATTTGTTCAGAGAAAAGTGATTCTATATGATGCTGCTATATTTTTATATAGTGTTTGTTCAGAGACCTCTCATTTTCTTGGGTCATTACATGCCCCGCTAACCGAGTATTGAGACACAGGTGCAAACCGATGGACTGTCATGTCTCATGGTAAACATGACTGGTTTTTAAAATCTGAGATGGTAAAAGTATGGCTGACATTAAAAGATGGAAGAACTTTCATAACAGTGGTAGATTTTTATTCCTCAGACATCTGTTTAGTTACCATTTAAACACATTCTATTCTAAGGTCTTGGTCATCTGTGATGATCCCAGAAAGCAGTGAATAATTTGGATTTGGATATTTTTATCAGTGGCTCTTAGTCTTCTCCAGTCTTCTAACTATGGTCTTTCCCCTGAAAAATGCACATGCCCACAGAAAAATACGTGCATAACCTAATTAAGAGCTCTTGCAATAAGACAGTTTCTGGCTGTTGGTTAGGTCTTTCCTGATTCTACCTAAAAGTACAATATTTTGCAGTACCCTCATACCAAACCTGTTACCTCACTACTTCCAAGTGTATGTGAAAGAGCTGTCCTGAGGTTATTGTCCAATCCTTTCAAATAACATGACTCAGTTATTACTGCAGGTCAGTAATTAGACCTGCAGCTGTGAGCAAGGCAACCCAGGCTTTAAAAAGAAGATAAAAATGGACCTTTGAGCTAATCGCAGGCCACTTTCTTCTTTGACTATGTGATATAGTGGCAAAGCAATCTTCTCCATGGACTTAAACGGGTACTGTAGGCAAATAAGATTCTAAACCTGAGAGCAACTCTGTTCTCTCCTTTCCTTTATTACACAGGCACAAGGGAATCGGCCGTGCTTGCCTTTTAAACGTTACCTCTACCTTCTCAGCCAACAAACATTTATCTGGCTCTTGTGTGTCTGAGACCCTGTACTAAGAAAAAAGAAGCAGTCTTTCTTCTCAAAAGTAATGGGGAAAGCCAGGCAAGCCAGCCAACGATCACGAAGGAAGTGAATGTGACAACAGGTAAGTCCTGGGAGCAGAGGAGATTGTCATCACCCAACACATGGACAGGAGAGGAGTCAGGAAGGCTTCCCGGAGTGTTGAACTCAAGTCAGTTGAGTGTTACGGAGGAGTAGGAATAACACAGAGGCAGCACACATGCCAAGGCCCAGAGAAGGAAAACTGCATGTGGGTGGGTAAAGGAATAGCACAAGACACCCAAGGGACCACAGCTAGAGAAACTAAAAGTCACCTTAAAGCAATGGCCCCCACTGAGGGAATTACAGAGGGTAAAGAAAATATACTGGGGCTTTAGAATGTTCTGGTGGCATGTGGAAACCAGACTGGAGATGGCCAGACAGGGAGCTGTAATGGTGATACAGACAAATGAACAAAGAGGGAATGAAAAAATATTCAAAAGACATTTAGGAGCTGCCAAATCATCTTGATGCTGGAGATGAAGAGAGTATCCTAAAAAGACACCTAGTTCTGACTTTGGCTAATGTTAGAACACTCAATCGCCAGAAGAAAATGTGTTTTCTACATAGCTGAGGAGTCTTTATTTTTTCAAGTTTCAAAAGCTTAAAGTACAGATGAAAACTTCTCTCAAATATACTGTATTTCTTACACAGGATATGCTCGTTATGCACATTTTTGTTATATAATGTGCCAAACAGATGCAAATGAAGCGAATATTATAGTGATCCTACTACATGTCAGACACTGCTTTACAAGGATTATCTCATTCAACTTATTTAAGGTCTGTTGTTATTTCAATCTACAGTTAGGAAGTGGAAGCTAATGAGACAACAGGCTAAACAAGCAATCCTGGAAAACAAGTCATTAAACATATTTCTGATGTTCTACATTCGTACTTTCACCAGAGAAGGACTAGAAGCGGTTTTCTGTGACTGTATTTAGGTTTGGCCACTGTGTATTGTATAGACCACCGTATCATTGCGTTGTAACTTTCTTACCACTGTAGGAAGAACTCCATCTTCAAAACAGGTTCTGCCCGCCCTTCCCTTCTACTGTCATACTCTAAAGCTGCTCTTGACCTCAAAGTGTTATTGTTCTGAGTTAATGACGGCCGTCTGTCCCCAAGCAGGGATATTCTATGTGGAAACCCCTACTAGAAGCTTGCTTCATTGTAGACATCTCCACTGGCAGGGTACTCTTGCCTGCACCATTACTGCAAATCTCCTGAGAAACTGTAGGGAAGTGGGGAAAAGGCTTCACTGACTAGGTATGTGATCTGGAGTAAGTTACTCAACCTCTCTAAGCTTTATATGTAAAATGAAGATGTTAAATCTAACTCACAGGTT